TAATTATGCAGGGAATGTAAAATGCATAGCAAGTACTTCTCTCATTACTTGATTTCTGAAATACAGCTTATTTCCTGTGCTCGATGGACTTCCAATGGTAGGGAACATGACTGAGAGTCCCAGTCAGCTGAGCTCTGAAATCCATCACCGTGGTTGCTCAGTGGCCATGCCACCACCTGGTCCCCGACCCCCCACCCATGCTGCCATCGCCAAAGACTGAGTGTGTTGGGATACTAAGGTGCGCCTGTCTGCTCCTGGGTCCCTGGAATCCCTCTGATGGTAGACTTTGGCCCAAGGACACTCCACGCCCCCTTCCCCCCAATGAATCTTTAGGCTGCACAGGTCGTGAAGAATGCCTCCACTCTATCTTCCTTTCTTCCGCATTTCACGGGGGGTCAACCTCACCTGGCTTCTTCCCCTTTTCTTTCACAGGTGCTCCCCGTGATAAAATCCTTACCCATTAAGTCTGTCTATATTTGAGTTGGCAGAGAGGCACAAAGAACTCTCAACAGTACACAAGAAATCAGTAAGTGGTATCGTGTGGGAGGTTTTAGTAAGAACTTGTAAATGTGGAAAAGAGCTGGGGAGAGACTTTTCACTGGGCCTCTTACAATATATTTTTTATTTTGCCAGCAAGTGCATGTATAACAATTTGAAAATGTAAAATCGAGTATTTGGATGAAAACACACGAATTTGAGGGTGAAGAGAGCATGTGCTTTGGAGATCGCTCTGAGTTTGAGCTTCAGCTCATCTTCGTGATTTTAGGAAATTTACTGAGTGCTGGTGGATTTTTTACTGTCTAGACTGATATTTTAATTTTGACTCTTTAAAGTTTTTTTTTCAGTTACAATTGACATTCAATATATTGGTTTCAGGTGTACAGCAGTGGTTAGACATTCACATATAACTTATGAAGTGACCCCACCCCCCATATTGTATCCATATTTTGCCATACAAAGTTATTACATCACAGGGTGGGGCAAAAATATGTTTACAGTTCTGAGTATGTGGAAGTTTAATCTTGTACTACTATTTATTATTTTTCACCTAAACAACTGTAAAGTCACTCTCACCCCATCCTGTATCAGTGACTGTGTACCCTGTGCTGCACTTTCTGTCCCGTGACTATTGTGTGACGACCAATCTCTGTGTCTTCACCCCTTCCCCGTGTTCACCCGTCCCCCTCACCAATCACAACCCCCCAACCTGGCAACCATGAGTTTGTTCTCTGCATCTATGAGTCTGTTTGGTTTGTTCATTCATTTCGTTTTTCGATGCCACGTGTGAGTGAAATCACGTGGTCTTTGCCTTTCTCTGTCTGACTTATTGCACTTCGCACACACCCTCCCGGTTCCTCCATATGCTGCAAATTGTTAAGATTCCATCTTTTTTTTAAGGCCTACGGATTCTTGATATCAGTGGATCGCTTTCCTGCTTCAAGGAGAATTCTGTAACCGCAAACACTAGCTTCCCACAGGAGGCACGCACCTGCCACTGCCCACGGGCTTGCCTGCGGGACTTGCTGGGGATAGGACACAGGGAGGCCGGGCAGGAGGTGGGCCTGAACGGAAGCTTTCGCAATCCCATGCACAGAGTCGTCCTGGCTCTCCTTTCCCTCCGCCATGGAAGTCCCAAGGAGGGACTGCTTCCACAGCTTGGGTCCTGGAATGAAATTGTAGAGGCTCCGCCGGCCTATCACTGCTGAAGTTCATTGGGAGCTACTCAAACTTCTGTGGTTGAAAACCATTGCGGTGATTCCTCAACTTTTCATTTTTAAAAAATTTCAGAATAGCCCTGGCTGGCGTAGCTCAGTGGATTGAGCACGGGCTGCGAACCAAAGTGTCGCAGGTTCAATTCCCAGACAGGGTACATGCCTGGGTTGCAGGCCATGACCCCCAGCAACCGCACACTGATGTTTCTCTCTCTCTCTATATTTCCCTCCCTTCCCTCTCTAAAAAAAATAAATAAAATATTTTTTAAAATTTCAGAATAAAGTTGAAAGAACAGTACCTCACTTAACTTCACCAATTGTTAACATTTTGCCACATTTGCTTAATTTCTCTTGCTCCCTCTCTCCATACAGAATCCCTAGTTTTGCTAAACAATCTGAGAGGTGGTTACAGGCATAATGATAGTGGGTCCTGAAATAGCTCAACATTATATGCTAAGAATAAGGACTTTGTCCTGTATGGCCACAAGGCTACTATCATATCCAATAAACATAACCTTGAGATGATAACATTCAGTATGCAGTTCATGTTTAAATTTCCTTCACAATGATATCCTTTGTAAATCCTTTTTCTTTCTCATCCAAGCAAGGCTCACGCACAGCTACCAGTCATATGTCTCTTCAGTCTCCTTCCCTTCAGAACAGCTCTCTGAACTTTTTTGGTCCATCTTTCATGAAACTTATGTTTGATGAGTTCAAGTCAGTTGTTTCGTTGAATGTATCATCCTCTGGATTTATCTGGCTTCTCTTCCTCACGATTCTTTGGATTCATACTAAACATTCATGGTGTGAATACTACATAAGTTGTTTGTGTCACTACTGGGGGTATAAATGTCAAGACTGTCCCGTTTTAGGGATGACAAGTTTGATGACTTTGTTAAGGCGGTGCCCATCAGATTTCTTCTTTGCAGTTTCCTTTGTCCCTCTGCGTTTCCTCATTAATCTGGGGGGTGATACATAGGGACTGAAGACCTTGGTATCCAGTAAACTTTCTCCATTGGTTTTAGCATCCATAGATGATCCCCTCCTGAATCAACGATTACACTGGTAGTGGTAGAAGTGTGATTCTATTATTCCCACTCTATGTATTATCTGATATTCTTTGTGTAAAGAAAACTTCCTCTCCATGCTCCACTCCCATTTATTTTTGAGTATCATCATGGACTCGTGGATTTTTAATATATATGTTATAATTCTTCATCATTATTCTGTTATTTAAATGGTCCTAAATTTGTACACTCAGAGAGCCCCCTTCAAGATGCATTCTGGGTCCATTTAACATGTTTTTGACTATCATTATTTTTCTTGCTTTCTGGTACAGTAAGATATTCCAGGCTCATCTTAGATATTTACTGCCACTGACCTGATTCTTTTTATTTGGGAGAGAGATTGAGAGAGTGACATTACGATTTGGGGAGAAGGTTGACAAAGAAGAAGGCAAGAAAGGAGATTTGGAGCAAGGAAATACTTGGGGGAACTGCTGGCCAAAGTTCTACTGTGGGGAGGTCTCCCGAGCTCTCCAAATTGGAATTTCCTCTCCTGGAAAATGGGGATCATTATGCCTATTGTGTGAGCTGGTTGTGAGAATTAATGGACACAACCGATTGACATATGTTCAATATTTGTTGGACATTATTATTAACATCCTTCCAATGAAGTAAGTTTCTGATAACTTGTGACTTTCAAATACTGCTCCCAAGGTGATTTATGACAAACTTGCTTAAATGTATGTTCTGAGGCTTTGTTTAAATATCACTCTAAACGTTCTGAAGACAACTAGATGGGGTTAAATGGAGACAGACTCTAAAACACTGGTATAACAACAAGCTTTCCATGGAATAATTGCATGCAAATTTAAGGAGAAAGCAAATACCATACATACACACCGCATATGTGTATGTGTATGTGTGTGTGTGTGTCTCTCTCTCCTGATTTGAAATAGGATCATAACTGAGAGGCGACCTAGTGAAATGTGGACTAGGTTTAAATCCAAGCTTGGCCTCTTACAGTTCTCATTTTAAAAGTGAGGATTATTACACCTTCCCCTGCAGTTGTTGTGGACAAAAATTCAGGCCATGGAGACCGATCTAACTAGGCCTGGGGTCTTTTAAAATTCCAGTTTTATAATTGACATACAGCATTGTTTAGGTTTAAGGAATACAGCACAAACACGAGGTACATGTTGCAAAGTCATAAATACAGTATGTTTAGTTAACATCCTGATAGTATGTTTAGTTAATTCCTGAAGGAGTTTAACTTTTAGAGTTATCAAAAATTTTCCTCTCTTGTAATGAGAAGTTTCAGGACTTAACTTAGCAACTTTCAAATATCCAAGATAGCACTGTTAATTACAGTCAACATGTTACACACTGCAACTCCAGTACTTTTATCTCACAACTGGAAGTTTGTGCCTTACTACCTTCTTAGTCCAGTTCCTCCCTCCCGCCCCAGCCTTCTTACAGCATTTGTTCCTTGGCAAGTGCTTCCCCCTGGTGGTGGTATATTCCCATTGCAAATCAAAGAGCAGAGGGAAAAGGCCATGGCTGAATTCGTCAATTTACACGCCTCTAGAAAAGGCACACCATTAAACAACTTTGAGTAAAAGCATTTCCACACTTTACCTGTGGAATGTATACTTTAACAGCAATAACATCCAAGTATGACAAAGAAAATGTTGCTCTGCAACATTTTGCAAGAGCATTTGTTCATTCATTCATGCATTCGACAAATATCTATTAAGTGAACAAGAGACAATATGGCTAAATAAATGGGAGCACCCGGACGCAGACCCGCTGCAGCCGACCTAAAAACTCACCCTTGAAAAACCGAGACTTAAACCACGAGCTAGAATATGTCATCGGCGTGGAGAGCCGGGCTGACCATGAAAGCAAGAGTAAATGGAAGCTATCCTTTCCCAATGTTTCTCCCCACAAGTATTCTTTACGGTAAGCAAGGGCTTCTCCCAGTCGGCCGGGCTCGAACCCGCGGACGACGGAGGCTGATCTTGCTTATCCGGAGCAGCCGCTCCAAAAGAAACGCTTGTTTCCAGCAGAGCCTGCGGGGTGGAGGACCGGCCTCTGCAGCGTTCAGCATCTCTCGGCCCCACTCATCGCCCCGGCTACGTGCCCCAGCTCTAGTTGCCAGACTTCCGGCGATTGCTCGTCGGCGAGCCGCGAACCCGCCGCCTGCAGGCGGCGCAAGGCCCGAGAGCCGGGTCCGGAACGGAACTGTCCCACGGAATCCGCGGCACACGCTCAGAGTTTCCGGGGGACGGAGGACAGAGGAGGACCAGGTTGTGCACGGCGGTACCTACGGCCGGGACCGAGACAATGGGCCCGGTGGTCTGGGCGCTGAGGCTCGGGCGGGCCACCCCCGGTGGCAGGGCTGGCTGGCGTGAGTTGCGGCGGCCGTGGGGACCGGCGGCGAGGTTCAGAGGATGGTGTCTGCCCAGAATGGGCCGGGGGCGGGTCCTGGGAGGTTCCACGGGGCTCGGGCTGGGAAGGCTCTTTACGTCTGGATTGCAGCCGCCGCCCCCTCCTGGCCTCTGGCGTACAGATGCCAGGGCTTTAAGGGGTCTGGGAGGTAGGGGGCCGGGTGGTTGGAGGACCTTGGGGCGTCTCTGGGAAGGAGCGCATGTCTCGGTGCAACATATCCTTATTTACCCGTTGGAATACTCGTACTTGCCTTGCCAAATCCTGTTGTTTGGGGATTGTTAAATAGACAGCGTTTCTCGTTCTAGATATTGGTAATTTTGGCGTAGGACCTCCGATCTCCTGGAATTTCTTTTGTCCCCAGAATCTTATCAAAGTGACGACTTGACTCACCTTCCCAATGGCTGCTCTAGTTTTGACCCCACTTCCTGGTTACTTTTTGCCCCTTATTGTAAATCACAGACTGGAATACGACAGAGGAAACCAGTGGGAAATAGAACTCTCTTGGTGAAAGCGCGAAGTTGAATTAAAGGCTTAGATCTTGACTAGTTGACGTTTTATTGATTAATATTAGAAAGTAGTTCACCGTTACTACTGAACGCATTTTGACGAGCGACTTTACAATTCTGTCGCTTCCTTTCCTTGTAGGAGAACGGTGATGCGAGCGGGAGTAGGACAGCATGGGGCTGGCACTATGTCATTTCTTTAGCGTTCATATTTATTGTCATTTCTACACAGGATTTATAGCAACATCACCAGCCTCTGAGCTGTCAGCGACCCAACTGATAGAAATGCAGAATGATCTCTTTAATAAAGAGAAAAACAGGCAGTTATCACTAACTCCCCGGACCGAGAAGATTGAAGTTAAACACGTTGGGAAAATGGACCCTGGCACTCTGTTTGTGATGAATAAAAACATTTCAACACCTTATAGCTGTGCCATGCGTAAGTAACCTGAATCAGGATGCCGTTTTGTCTGTTTTTACCTAAGCTGTGTGGAAGGGCGGGTGCAGAGGAGACAAGGTGCTGTAATTGAGCTCTGCGGGTCCCAGAAGGTCTCTTCTGTCTGGCATCTTACTGTCTGTCCTCTGCCGCTTTAGCACTTGAGGGTACAATGGGTCTTGCAGGGTTGGTACTGTAATGCAGATTGTGCTGGTATTGGTTTGAATATGCTAAATATAGGGTGTTAAAATTGTTTTGGAAAGAAGGCAGATCTGCAAACAGTGCTAGTACTAGCTTGTCCCTTGTAGACAGTACACTGGTGTAATGGAAACAGTCACCGTGAGGGTCTTGTTAAAGGATTCAGGGGTAGGGTTACTACCCTGGCTTCAGGAGACAAGCTATTTTGGCTTCTTTCCTTTCTAGTCTTTATAACCTAGCTTAAATCGTTTATGTGCTTATACTTCCTTCTTTGTGTGATGTGTTGTTTGCATGTAATGCATGTGCGGTAAGTGTGTGAGTGGGAATGTGCATGGGGTGAGTGTGACTGGGGTGAAAATGTCTTTTGTGTTTATATCTTAAGGGAGAAACTGTGTACCATGTGTGCTTTGGTATGGAAATGAAGGGAACAAGGCCTTTATATTCTTGATCAAAATGCTTGTATAGAAGCTTTGGTAGAACTGGTAATATTTAAATTTAGGAAGCCTCCACTCCAAAGAGATATATACCCACGTTCTCACACATGTATATGATTAACTGCATTGTTCACACTTTTGGAAGAACTCAGTAAAGATTCCATTTAAGTGACAACTTTAGTTATCAGCTTAAGCTGGTCTACAAAGTACACACTCTCAATGTTTATTTACTTGGACATTTGAATTAGAATTTATGATAAATGTTACTTGTTTTTTGAGCAGTTGTTGACCCTCTGCTATATGATAGGTGTTAGATTCCAGGGGAGGATAAGAGCAGCTCAGGCCCTTCAGGAGCTTTATTTGCATCACGTAAACTCTGTGTCATGGAGAGATGAATGAAGTTCTGAACCACACTCAGCATGACCTCCACCCTGAGACTTGCTTGTCATTTACACCTTCAGCCATTCAGTGGACTTATGTTGAATATCTCTTGTATTTCTGGCCTGGTGTTTGTCTCTGGATATACTGATGAGTCAGCAAGAATAGACATGATCCTTGCCTTTATGGAACAGATGTAGTAGCTGATGATTTAGACCCTGTAGTTTGATCACTTTTTTGTGCACCTGAAAACCATCTAATTAAGGAAGTAAGAGGTAGTTTGGGAGCAAGACCCCAAACATCTAGAACAGACTTACTATGGAAGTATAGCTATACATTTTTCCTTCTAAGTTGTGTGTGCATATATCTGAATATGTCCATGTTTCTATTCTATGAATATTTAAAAGTAACTCTTGGAAAGTTGTTTGATTAATTAATGGTTACCAAATTAATGTCAAACTAGATTTAGCCTTAGTGAGTTTTGCAAATGGTTTGGTTAATTTTGGTAATAATCAACAATATATCGCAGGTGTTGGGTATTATTTTTTTATTGGTTACAAAAGTATATGTAATGCTTTTGTCTAAAAAAAAAAGACCACTTGCAGAATCTTGCCTTTTTGTTGTTTTATTTCTTAAAGCAGCACTTAAACATGTAGCTTTTTGTTTCTGAGTTTGGTTAGATTTTGACCTTTGATCTATTTTAAATTCCTAGATTTAAGTGAGTGGTACTGCAAGAAGTCCATTCTGGCTCTTGTGGACGGACAGCCGTGGGACATGTACAAGCCTTTGACCAAGTCCTGTGAGATTAAATTTCTTACTTTCAAAGATCGTGATCCAGGGGAAGTTAATAAGGTACTTCTGTCTCCATAATTTCCCTCCCCCTCCCTCACTCCCAGTTTTTTCCTTCTCCTTTTTATTGAAACCTCTTTTCTCTGGAGTATGAAATGTGCAAATATACAAATAGCCGAGGTGAAATGTACTATACTAGATTGTGTTTTACTTGTTAGATTAGGCATTTTCACAGTTCAGATAATAATTAGTAGCGTCCATTTCTCCGTATTTTGGTTTCAGAAAACGATATAGCATGCCTTGTACATTTGTATCTTTGTTCAACTGACACTTACTGATCACTCTCTATATTAGTGATTTCAGTCCCACAGCTACTGATGGAATTAAGCCTTGGACCATTTTCTCTGGATTATTAAACGTTTTAAACTCTCTCTGCTTCCTCACCCCCCTTTTCAAATACTAAAGTCTTCCTTAATAGTCCTGTAAGAGTTTTATTAAGTGACATAACCCTTAGTCATGTCATTTACCCCTAAGGAACTCACCTACATGATAACTGTTCATGTAGCTTTCCAGGACCTGCGTGATCTGACCTCAGCCTGCGCTTGAGCCTCACCTTCCACTGCAGCTTCCCACTCCCACTTCGCTCCCGCCACACTGAAGGGCTTGGTCACAAATGGTTTATCCTGTCTTACCCTACTTGCTTGTGCTGATGCTCTTCCATCAACTCTGCGTATTTTCTTTCTTCCCGATTAAAATCCTGTTTGTCTTTCATAGTTCAATTAAAATGCTTTCTGCTCTGTAGAACCTTCTTAGTGTCTTCTTGTCAAAAGTAATTTCTCTTTTCTCCAGGGCCTCAAAACACTTGGCTGATGTCTTTAGATACAATATTTAAATTTAAATTCTAGATACAATATTGAGTTTAAATTTAATTTTTAATATTTAATTTTAATTTGACTCTGTGAAGACAGGGATCATGTCCCTTAGGGGACCCTGTCCTCAACTGACATGTAGTAGGTACTTAATAATATTTGTTGAAATGAAATACTTAAATAAGAAAATTATAGACAAGATATTGGGTTGACCGAAAAGTCTGTATAGTTTTTTTCCATAAAATAAATGTCAAATTTTTCATTTTCACCAGTAACTTTATTGGTTTGGATATTTTGAGTATGTTGGTTATTTGCCACATGGTATAACGTTGGTTGTTCTCAGCTAATGTCTCAATTTGATCAATCTCAACTTTAACTTGTCTGCCTGACTGTGGAGCATCGCCCAGTGAGAACTCTCCAGTATGAAACTTCACAAACCACTTTTGACATGCTAGATCAGTCAGCACCTTCTCCATATAATGCATGGATCTTTTTTTGCATTTCAGTTGCGTTTTTGTCTTTCTTGAAATAAGAAAGTATAATATGCCCAAAATCTTGTGTATCTTTTTCCATCTTCAATAATAAAATGGCTGCATGAAAATTCACCAGTTTTGATAATTTTTTTTAAATGCACGCTGATATGGCAGCTGTCACAATAGAATCTAGCAAAATTGTATCAAATGAAGTTAAACATAACTAAGCACTACTAGAGCCATCATATGGAAAAAAAACGAACTTTTTGGCCAACCCAATGGTAGTAATAGCCACTATTGAATATTTACTGGGTATCAGACACTGTTGTAGGTGACGTGTAGGTATTAACTCATTTAACCCTCATAAAAGTAAAATAGGTGCTGTCGTCTCCATTTTCCAGATAAATAAACTGAAGCAAAGAGAGATTTACTCCTTGACCGGGGTTACCAGTTTAGGAAGTGGTGGAGCCTGGATTTGAATACAGGCATTCTGTCTCTGGAGTTACACAGACATTCCAAACACTTATGTAGTATAGATAGAGAAGTACATTTTGCTACTTGCTTGGAAGGCCTGTGTTTAAACTTATTTTTAGTGCAGGTAAGTAATGTATTTGTGTAGAATATTTTCTGGAACAGCGCTCCACACACAACCAAGTGAGCCCGCTCTCGTCCTCAGATGTGGAGAAGAGCTGGTAAAAGTCAAGTGCCCAGTTATAGTAGTGCTAGTGTGGGACACAAGGTGGACATGCATGTGCAGGACTTGTGTTTCTCGGTGGCTCTGAGAAAGTCACTGCACGGATGCCTGTATCAGGCACGTCTGTGAGTCAAAGTGTGCCAGTAAAATGAGAGCCTGGTAAATAGGGAGGTTGCTTTGCTCTAAACATGTTTAACTGAGTGATGTATATGCTGTTAGGTATAGGGTAGGAGTCATAAATAATTCTCGAAAGTTGAGTTTTCCTTCCATATTTATATGTGTACAGACAGGTATATATTAATATATTTATTTTACTTCAGCACATGTTTGCTAGCAAGTTAACTTTATCCTGGGTTAAAAATAAAGTTGCCGCAAGATAATAAAACTGTCGGTTGACAAACATTACGGTGTCTGATACCTTGCACAGAAGCATTGCCAGCACTGCGACGGTGGTGTTTCACTCGGTCCAGGCAATGTCACGGCCTGATGGTCATTATTGCTGCGTGCGGAGGGTGGACGGATAACTGGGGAATATTTCCTAAGTCAAAGTCAGCCTCAGTTTTAATGTTGAATAGGCTGCGGTGAATTTTAGTGTACATGTTTGTGTCTGTTTTCTTTTTCCAGGCTTATTGGCGTTCTTGTGCCATGATGATGGGCTGTGTGGTCGAGAGGGCGTTCAAAGATGAATATGTGGTCAGTTTGGTCAGAGCTCCAGAAGTTCCGGGTAATGTGTGCACACATATATATCAATGTACTTTTTATAATTTTTGGATATTTTGGTACCTATTTTTGATGTTGAATAGAGTTCATTTCTAATTTAATCTAGTATAAATTACCATCATACATGCACTCCATTTATTGTGGGTACCAAAATCCATCTTATTTATTTATGGATGTGAATAATTAATGTCATAGAATTAGTGGAGAATGGTTCTCTTGAATGTGAATTTCATGTAATTACATTGTCTCACTGTTTATTTCTTAGCACTTTAAGCATTTATTTCCAAGTTGAATACGTGGAGGATGAGTAAACAAGAGCATAAATAGACTTCTGGACAAAGCTCTGCTTAGGTTGTGTTACTCACCAGAAATGGCCATGACTCTGGAGAGGGATGTCATTTTGGGGAATTGGGAAAGTTCATGCTTTTGGTAATTTTGCTAAAACTAGGATTTTACAACAATGTAGTAGGATTACATTTGTATTTTAAAAAATGTAGAATATGAAGAAACAAGAGTGCGGTGCGATCATGGGGAAGCAAAGGAAAACAAGGAAATATTCGACCATGAAGCGAATGCTTAGTCTGAGAGATCAGAGGCTTAAAGAAAAGGATAGATTAAAACCTAAAAAGAAAGAAAAGAAAGATCCTAGTGTACTCGAGGAAAGAGAAGTCCCCCAATACTCTTCCTGCTTATTCTTCTAATATAACACACAGCTGGGCCCATCTTACCACATCCTGGTTGATACCAGCTTTATCAACTTTTCCATCAAGGCTAAACTGGACTTAGTGCAGTCAGTGATTGACTGTCTCTATGCCAAGTGTATACCTTGTATAACCGACTGTGTAATGGCTGAAACTGAGAAATTGGGGCAGAACTATCGAGTGGCTCTAAGGATCGCCAAGGATCCAGGATTTGAATGATTACCATGCTCACACAAAGGAACCTATGCAGATGACTAGTACAGAGAGTAACTCAGCACAGGTGTTACGTTGTGACCACAGTTGACCTGGACCTTAAAGGAAGAATCAGGAAGATCCCTGGAGTTCCCATCATGTACTTTTCTAATCATAGATACAACATCGAGTGGATGCCAGATGATTATGGAGCCCCTGGGTTCTAATGCTTAAAGGGTGAAGTTCCTCTGCTTTCCTTCAACCAACTTTCTCTGAGGCCAGTTTATTAATGTACTACAGAGTGCATTGTTATTGCTGCACTCACCACTTGCTCTGTTATGCGCTAAGTATGGTTAAATACACGCACTTTTCAATGTTGCTTTGAAAGTGATATTTTCCACCATTTTAATATTTGCTACATCTTTTTATAAATCAGATGACTGCTCACAAAAAAAAATGTAGAATAGGTACAACCAAAAATATTTGAAAAGCTTCATAAAGGATTTTAAGGGCAAAACAACAGAAATAAACACACGTAGGAGATACCAAAAAAACTCACCATTTCATGTCCATGTAGTCATTTATCTCCTTGTTAAATAGCTTGTTGTTTTGGGATTTCTGTATCTGGTGACTGACATCTCTATAGTGATTACATTACATCTCTATAGTGATTTATGAGGAAAACTTGAATGCTTCAAAAATGCTGGTGATTTTGTGTTAATAGTAGGTGAGTGAGTTTTTTGGATGGGGGAGATTAGGTAGAGCTCTGACAAGCTCCTGAGACACTGGTAGCATTTTTATGGTTTGTAGAGTTGGGAGAGATCGCTAACCCTTGTTCTACGGTTAAAATATTCAGTTGCTGCTAATTGATAACTTTCTAGCCTTACAGATTTGACTTTGATTTTTATGTTGGTTGGATTTACAGTGATCGCTGGAGCCTTCTGCTATGATGTAGTTTTGGATCAGAGACTTGATGAGTGGATGCCAACAAAAGTAAGTAAGCTCTTTGGAGTATTAATTCTAGAGTCTGATTTTCTTTGGCAGAACGATTCCTATGTTGGTGTTATCGAATGGTGCTGCATGTGGAGGGTATTTAAAAGAATCTGTTTATCTGTCTGTCTGTCTGTCTGTCTGTGTTGTTGCTTTTTCAGTGTATTTAAGATAGAGACATGAATGGAGGCACTCACAAGAGCACGGTCAGTTGTACGGAAGAGTGATGTCCTGCTTGACCTTTTCTTGTAATGCTTTCTGCCTTGTACTGTTCCTTCTGTTCCTTAAGATACTGGTTTTCAGTAAGACCATAAAATATGGTCTTATATAAAATATGGAAGCATAACTTGGTTGACTTTGTGGTGGGGGGGCCTGGAGCCTTAGACTTGGATCCCCCAAGTACAGTCTGAAAACCATTGCCCAACCCTTTAGCCTGTTGCACACTGTAAGATCCCCCTGTGTGCAAGGGTCACATTGAGTGTGGGGTGGGGGGAGTGCGTGTGGGGGGAACTAAAGAATCAGATTTTGACAAAGCTAACCCCAATAGCTACAAACTAGCAGAAAAACAGACTTCTTGTGGATGGTCACCCTTTGTAGTGCGGTGCTCCTGGTTGTTCGGGACTTGGGGAGCAACAAGGCCTTGCTAACAAGGACGACCTAGTTCAGGTGCTCTGGTGGTGGCAGGGTGGGGTGCCCATGGCTTTGAGAACTCAAGCCTCGAGACTCAGTTATGATTGGGAAGAAGAGGCAAGTGCCCAATTCTTAATGAAGCAAAAGTGTATGTCCTGCAGATTGGGGGTGTAGCAATCAGAAAAGGGGAAGTGGTGTAGCATACTGTTTGATTGGTTCCACTGTGTACGTTTTTCTGTACCTCTGAACATTTTAGTATCTCTGAACATAAATGTTTCTTATAGTAGTTGGCCTCTTATGATTGTAATTGGTAGTGTTTTTTCCTTAGTGGTACATCTTAGATTTAGTGAAACACTGTTATTCCTAAAAGCAAGACTTTAAAGCAGATCTAGGTTAAATTCTGGCTGTGGAATTTATTTCCTTTATAATCACACCCATATTACTCAATACTGAGAGGGAAAGAGGGAAACAGGAAGGGAGACAGAAGGGAAGAGAGGTGGAGTGGGGGTGAGGAGGAAGTGCAAGGAAGGAATGGGAACCTTTTCCTCAGAGTGTTTGGGTTTGTGTCAGTGTAACTTCTTCCTTTCCAAGTATGCCCCCAGATTTAAGAGATTCTTAATTGGAGGAATTAACTAAAACTAGCAAGATCAGGATTCAACTCTCGTTACCTATGCAACTTGCTCCGTTCTTTTCCTTTTTTAAAGATAAAACTTTAAAAAAGAAGTGTCCTAGACTAGATGATAGCTGGCCCCACAGGATTGGGTGGGCGGCTTAGAGAAAGGAGGGGAGAGTTAAATTCCACCACAGCTATGCTAAACCATGGGTGTAGGTTTGTAATGCAGTCAATTACCCCTTCAAGAAGGGAGACGTTATTTCATGCAAAAAGAAGTCTAAAGATAGGAAGTTTATGGAAAGAACTTTGTTATAAAAATTATTTGCCTAATAGTGATCGATCTTTTCTGTATTAGTAATGATTTATAGTATGAAAACCTAATTATAGTTTTTATTTAAAATGTTGTAAAAATTGTTAATGTGTATTATTAATCATTTTAATTGTGTAAAGATTATATTTTCATTAAATAGAAATTTATAATATTCGAGCAGGACAATGATGACATTATATTTCCAAGCAAAACTATCTGAATCACATAAACAACAATTTTTTCCGTGTGCATTTAAAAAAGCTTAATTCTAGCCCTGGCTGGTGTAGCTCAGGGGATTGAGCATGGTCCTATGAACCAAAGGGTCACTAGTTCAATTCCCAGTCGGGGCACATGCCTGGGTCCCCAGGAAGGGGCATGAGAGAGGCAACCACACATTGATGTTTCTCTCCCTCTCTTTTTCCTTCCCTTCCCTTCTCCCTAAAAATAAATAAATAAAAAATGTTAAAAAAATTAAAAAGCTTGATTTTACTACGTGTAAATAGATTTTTATATCTTACTACTTATTTAGCATTTCTACTTGTTATATCATTTTAGTAAACATATATAAAGTTGTGTAATGTGAATGAAATATGTATTAAAATTTCTTTGTAGGGTTAACTATTATGAATTAACTGTTAATGCAGGCTGATATCTTAATTACAAGTAAATTGCAAGCTTTATACTTTGTAGAGTTGGGAGAAATTGCTAATCTTATAGTTAGTGGCCCAGATATTTAATTATTGCAAATTAATAATGTTCTTTTCTGACAAGTTTGCTTTGCTTTTATTTTAGATTTATAATATTAAGCACATAAATTACATTATCTACCTTATGTTGAAATACTTTTAAGTAAATTGTTATAAATATTAATACTTTTCATTTTTAAGGAGAACCTACGTTCTTTAACAAAAGATGCTCATGTTTTAATTTATAAAGATCTTCCATTTGAAACTCTGGAAGTTGATGCAAAAGTGGCATTAGAAATATTTCAACACAACAAGTAAGTTTTGGCTTCTCTTAAAGTAAGACTGAAACTCCCAAAGTTACATGTAATGAAGAAAATTCAGTTCTTTTTTAAACATTTAACCTTTATTTTATTTTTTATCCATTATCAGAAAATTCAGCTCTTAAGAATTTTTATATGCTGCCCTGACTGGTGTAGCTCAGTAGGTTGGGCGTTGTCCTGCAAACTGAAAGGTCTCTGGTTCAGTTCTTGGTCAGAGCACCTGCCTGGGTTATGGGCCAGATCCTCAGTTGGGTTGAGGGCATGCGAGAAGCAACCGATCAGTGTTTCTCTCCCACCATGTTGATGTTTCTCTCCCTTTCTTTCTCCTTCTCCCCCTCTCTAAAAATAAAGAAATAAAATATTTTAAAAAAGAATTTTTTATATTCTTAAAAGCTGAACATAAAAATTCAGAAACAAGTCTAAGTAAAAGCAAATTTAGTTGGAAAAAAGCTAAGAAATAAAAAGTGAGCTTCTAACAGATATATTTTATAATAGATATATTCTCTGGTTAGTTCCTGAAAGCCTCCTTAACTGATACTCTGGCTTGGCATTTTTCAAAATGGTACGCCCCAGGAATGTTCTTCCACACGATGTTAATCAATATGCTGAAAAACATGTACTGTGTTTGAACTGAATTTGGAGAATGGTGGCATAAAAAAATTTACTCACGTTCACTCTGAAGCCTCCCAAAATAGATACTGAAAACAATAATTTTCAAATGCATTAACCTGTGTAACTCTTGTTCTTGAAGCACATTTTTTTGCAGCATATCCTGGAACCAGTGTACTTAGAAACCATTAGGCGTAGACTGTTTTAAATGAAGTAGAGTGAAAGTACAACTACAGAACCAAACTGCCACTGAGTCCTTAGGAAAATCCCTTGGATTATCAGAGCATGTCGGGTCACCGTGCCAAAATTCTAGGGTCTGCTGGCCAATGGAAATATGTGAGCCATCTTTAAATTTCCTACAGGCTACATTAAAAAATTTAAAAAAGGTCGAAGTTAATTTTAACCATAAATTTTATTTAAACAGTATATTTAAAATGTCATCGTTTCCACATTAAAAATGCTGATGATACTGTATAGTCTGCTTCTCGTACTAGGTCTTCAGAATGCCGCGTGTACTGTATACCGAGGGCACGTCTCAGTCAGGGCTAATCACATTTAAGTGTTCCACAGCTGCCGTATTGGACAGCGCTCTAGACTCTCATGCCGCATGCACTGAGCCTTTTCTTTCTCATACTCAGCTGTCCAAGTCCAGCAGAGGCGTGTAGGGCTTCGGCATCTTAGCTGAATGTGTGGGGGAGGGAGGGGATGGTTTGGGGGTAAGTTCGAGGGCACAGAAGAGTTTTGGATGGTTCACAGTGGATCTGTGATCAGGCCTTGGCTTTGGCTCTTAGAGGTGGGTCAGGAGTTGTAAATATTCAAGGGAATTGTCTCCCTCAGTAATGCTTGGGATGGGGTTTGGTGGAGCTCTGGCAGAAGGGGTGTGGCAGTAAGGGGATGTTCTGGAGTAAGCTAGCATTTCCCAGCCTTGCCACGGGCTCACATAATGTTTGTTTAGTGCTCTGGTGAGACTAGACAAAGGTCTGGGGAGTAAGTGGTGGAGTCAGGGTTTGAACCTGGGCTGTGCGGTTCCACCTCTGCTGTTAGCTATACTGACAAGATGGGGTAGATTTGGGAAACATTTAGGTGGAATTGGCATGACTTGGTATGAACTGCATGTGGAGGGTGTGGTAGGAGAAGCAGGAATTAAGGAAATCTCCCAAGTTTTTCACTTGGACACATGCGTGTTTGGCGGTATCATTTACAAAGCCAGGGACATGCGAACTAAGCTCTTTCATTCCTAAGCTAGGAATAAGAAACAAGTTTGGTGGGGAAAGAGAGGGTAACTTTTTGTTCACTTTGAGGATTTGGGAGTTTAAAGTGCCCGTGGAACGCCCCAGTGGATGTCTAGTAGGGTGTTGGATACGCAGTTTGGGGCTCAGCAGAGGTGCGTGGGTTAGAAGCAGAGATGTGGAAGATGCACACGTGTAAGTGGTCATTCACGCTGTGCAAACCAAGGAGCTAGCCCGGGGAGGGCGTGTAGAGTGAAAAGAGGGTCTGGGACACAGTCCTTGAAGGGCAGAAAAAGAGGAGAGTGGCCAGAGAGCTGAAATAATAAGCATTTTGGGAAGTGGAGGTGAGCGGTGCCGGGGGAAGAAAATGAGGACCCAGAGTGTCCTTCAGGTTGGTCCCAGGGAGGCTCCTGTGGCTTTGGTGAGACGCCGATGGGGTCAGGAGGCCGTGGGCAGGTGGAAGACTGGGGCGCGGGTGGGAGGTGACGAAGAGCAGGCTCCAAATGTGAGCCGTCCTTTCCAAAACCGTGACTGTAACAGGGAGGGACAGGGTTCCTTTAAACATCTTTTTGTATATTTATAATTAAAATTTATTTCTTTGCTGTGTTTTTTAGGTATAAAATAGATCTTATAGAAGAGAAGGCATCTCAGACCCCTGAGAGAATAGTCACGCTGCACAGGTAAGTAAAAATAAAAAAGTTGGCTGCCATGCTAATTTGTAGTAAGGTGTGGCTTTATTATATTTACTATGTTATATTATTGTGTGTAGTGGACAACTTAAAAAGATGAACTTGTATCTTATTTTGTTATTCTCATTGTCTTATTTTCTGTTGCTTTGTTTGTTGTTTTCGTATAGTAGTAATTGGAAGCCTTAAATTACCCTCAGGAACAGTAGCTGTTTCTGTTCCTCATTTTATTGTTACTTTTATTTCTGCATTTCAAGTGCAGAAAATCATTGTTTAGAAGTGTAATTTTTAAGAGATAATTTTGAAATTGAGGAAAATATTATTATGAATTGCACGTGGTGATTCATGTGTGCGCAGAAATACGCATTCTGACTGATAGGTTACTGCCGATAGTGCCTGCAGGTAAGTTGAACTGGAGTGTGCTTCCCGACGCCAGGATGAGCGAGGTGGGACAGTGCGCTACGCAGAGTCGGCTTCGTGGTCTGTGCCTGTTTACTCGGCCTCGTGTTCGCTTGGTTTGGACTGAACTCGTTTCCTCTCGAAAGCTGCTCTGTTTCTGGACACGATCTGTCATGCGTGCTGAGTTCCGAGCTCGGTCGCAGGGAGTTGTAAGGTTGGAGGTTGTCAGTTTTAGACAGTAGATCCACGTGATGGCACGATTCTTCAGTGACCTTAAAAATCTTCATTATGTCATCAATGCTAATTTAGAAAAAGGTTCTCTCGAGTTTAGTTGTCCAAGTTTTAGCCTCTCACTTCGGACTTTTGTGCCGTGGCTGTCAGAGGCCGCACGGAGCCGCGCGGAGTGTTCTGACCAGAGATGTAGCGGCGAAGAGAACGAATAGACTCTTCCCCCCAGTGTATGTAGTACGTCATTGGATGTCCAGGTTTTCATTGTTTGTTTCCATAATCAAACCAGACTGGGCGACTTCGTCGACGTGACGGAGGGCCCTCTCATTCCGAGAACGAGTGTCTGTTTCCAGTACGCGGTGTCGGCGGCTCACGGTCTCCCGGGCCCCGGCTCCGGTCTCGTGCGGAGGTTCCAGGGCCTCTCTCTGCCTGTGCACTTACGAGTAAGTACAGGTCAAGTTTCAGGCCGTTCTGTTTGGGTGTGGTGTGAGTCTAGTCTTGATTTTATACCGGTTTGAAGGGCATAACATTTTAATTTTCATTCAGTTGTGACACTAATGTTTTATGAATTCAGGTGTATGATTTCAAAAGCGTTATTCCCAGGATGTAACCAGATAACTCATAGAAGAAACATTAGCTGAAACACTTAAAACACATTGAGACAGAATTTTCAACTTTTCAAATTAGTACAGGAGAGGGTGCGTTGCTAAGACCTGTGGGAATGCCTTTTGGCCTTCCTTTTGGCATGCTCTCCTCCCTGGTTTTGGTGGTCTGTTCATGACCCAGGGCCTGTCTGTATGCTACCTTTTTTCCCTACTCTAATCCACTTTGTAAGCATTTCGCCTCATTTAAGTACTGCCTAACTGATTATGTGTTTGTTTTGTTTAAAACCTGTATAAAGACTTAGCTGCTTTTATTTTAACTTTATTGATTTATTTAATTCATATTAAATCTCTTCCTTTCAAGGCACATGTTACGATATGGGATAAGCTATTGGAGAGGTCTCAGAAATTGGTAAGTGTTTTTGACAGCTAAGAGTACTCTTCTACAAAGAAGTATTCATTGAAATTAAGCAACAACAACAAAAAAAGAAAAGGAAAAGAAAGAAATTAGTTGTCTCAATAGCAAAAGCAGTTTTGTAATTGTTTACCCTGGTAATATTTTGGCAAGAGAAAAATTATAGTTTGTAATTCTCTTTTGATTTTATTTGTTAATCTTATGGAAATGATACCATAGAACTTGAAGAGAAATAAGAATACTACTAAATAGTAGTAATATTTTAATAGTTAAATATTAAATAGTTTAAATATAGTAATAGTTTGGAGATTGTAATTGTGTTAATTAGGTGTTATGATAATTTTCTTGTGTGCTTAATGAACATTTTAAAGATTAAGACTTGTCAGATATATTTTAAATCTGCCTTGACTGTTGGCATATTAAATTTACAAATGTCCTGAAAAATCAACTTTGAACACTTCTGTTTTTGTAGTTTACACTGTCATTCGCATTTAGATTTCATTAGTAGGAATGATTACATTTCTTGACCACAGCCACCTTGTTCACCCTTCGTAGGTTGGGTGTCCGTCTTTCAGTGCAGTGACCTGAGAGCCGTGCCGTGTGACCCAGCCTCACGAGCCCTTCCCAGGTCCCCTGATTTTCCACTCTGACCCTGCTCGCAGGCACACTGCTCAGCACGCATCAGACTGATTTGCAAGTCTGTCTATTTCTTACTGACAGTTCTTCCATCCAATTCCATTTCCCACTCTCCTCTCTGTTTACATCATTCTTCAGTACTTCCCCCAAGTCTCACCTTCTCCCTGACACACTCGGAGTAATTGCTACCAAATATCCATTCATACAATTTCTGCATGATTCTATACCTCCTCACAATATTTTCTGTTGTTGCTATTCCATCTACATTCAGTTCATTAAACCATACAGGGCTTGTTGTATACGCATGACCCCAAATTTTGAACCCAACACTTGGCACACGGGGGAGGGGGGTTACCTAATAAATATTTATTGATTGTGTTTATGATGATGTTTACACCGAGTCTATATTAATGACTTTACAGGTGGAATTTATTGTTTAGGTACTGCTTAGCCATAATAGTCTTGTGTAAAGTTTATGTAATTTTTTCCATGATAAGAAAGTATATTTGAATAAATGGAATAACTTTGTCTCTTTGGTTGGTAACAATCATTTTAGAAGAAGAAACTAGGGAAGAAATTAGTGTAAATTAGGGGAAGCTCAAGAAGTGATAAAAACTGAATACTTTACAGCAAGGGAAAATGCAGAAAAATAGCAGAGACAGTAACCTAGAATACCTAGTAGAAATCAGTGAGTAGCTGTTTTTGAAACATTAATTGTGGTTCAGGTTTCTTCTTCCACTGTCCATGTTGCTTCTCTGAGGAGAGTAGGCTATACATATGGTCCACTGATGCAGCTAACACAGACTTACTGAGTGTTTGGTGCCCGGACCGGGATGCAAAAATGAACAAAACCTGCCGACCTCCAGGAAGTTACTTTACTGGGGTACCTGGGCACGAGCGCACAGTTTGGGTGTGCACGTGGGCCTCTGGCATGCAGAGGAGGCGGGCCCAGCCAAGCTGGGGGCTTGGTTAAGGGGGGTTCCCAGGAATTGATGTCTTCTACTTGAGCTGCTTTTAAAGGATGAATAAAAGGGGCCAGGCAGATAATTTGCTGGGGGACGGGTGGGGAGTTAGGAGAAGCTGCTTGCATAGAGGCGTGGAGGAAAGGAGAGTGCGTGAATATCAGATGAATCTGAATGTATGGTCACATGTGGGGTGGGTGAAGGGTCCAAAGAAGTTTGTCGGAAACAGTATGAAGGGCTCACCTTCCATAATGTAGAATTTGCAATGCCCTCCTGAAGATGGTTGGGGATAAGTGGAGAATTTTAACAAGAAAGTGACCTGCTGGGCACTGTTCCTGTTTAAAAGCTCGTTCTGGGTCAGCGGGGATGTTGGCTGTGAGTGAAGTCGGCACTCTTATTCGGGGCATAGAAGATGATGACTTTCTGAAGTTCGGTGTGGCAGTGAGAATGGCTGTGCTTGAATGTGCAGGGGACAGGACTGTGGCAGCTGAGCGAGTTCTTCACTGAAACGAGGGGTGCAGGAGGTGGAGCAGGTCTTGTGGCGATGAGGAAGGCAGGTTTGCCCTGTTTCTTTGATGTGTCTGAGTGACACAGAATAGAAGTACAACAGTTTGTGTCCTTCATTTAACCTTGTTATAACATGGATGAGATGCTGAAGGAACTTAACTGTTTCTTCCTATGTGCTTTGCCTTAAAGTCGCAGAACCTGTTGACGATGTTAAGTGAGGACTTACTGTATGGACGTACAGATAGATACCTGTTTTTACTATACCTGTCATGTACTATGTTCAAAACAGAATTTAACCTCCCAATAAAATAAATAGATTTAAAATACCTTGTTGCAGCACTGCTGGTAGTTTCCTTACACTAATGATTCATTTCATAGGTGAAAAATAAAATGACAAACTGGAGAAACCTAGATATATGCCTCAGGTTTTACTTTTTTTTTAAATTTTATTTTAATCATTGTTCAAGTATAGTTTTCTCCCTTTTACTCCCATTCCAGCCAGGTTTTACTTTTAATGGAATTGTTGTACTTGATAGTTTAGATTGGATACTTGGCCTTGTATGTTTTCTTCTCTTCTTACCTAACTTTCTGTCATAATTGCTATTGAAGGAGAAAGACAAAGGTCATTGTAAGAGGTGGACTGTGGAATGGTTTTAAGTGGTGGGTGAAGGATAAAAGTAAATGTTTATTAGAAAAGTAAAGCTGTTCATATTTTTACAGGTAACTGAAGATCAAACTAAACCTACAGAAGAAAGTTCATCTACCTAGTAACTTCCTAAAATTTAAATAAATTTTGTGTATAATAAATTAAAATAAAAGTTTTTTTAATGTAATGTTTGTGTGTGCTTATAAAGATTAACTGTCTTCTCTCCCTGAGATTTATACTGATGTTTACTCCCCGCCCCCCGCCCTTAAAGAATACAACAACTTACACTGTTCATAGTAAAGATTTCACACAGGAACAAGCCTGTCCCCTCACACTCCCCAGATGTGACACCCTGTGGTATATTTTCTCCTTGTGGTCTTTTCTACACATACAGACTTACATGTGCAAATACAAATGTAATCTTTTAAAACCTAAATAGGATCACACTAGTTTGCATTTTTCATTATTTTGAAGTGGTTCAGTAAACACCCTGTGCAAAGTGGCAGGTGTTTTATGCACAGATAGATTCACTGAGTGTTTACTGAGTTGACTGCTTCTTACATACTGGCCATTTCTCATAGAACCTTTTCATTTAAGCCTCACAACCAACCCGTTGAGAAGGTGTCCCCGTGTGGTAATGAGGACACTGAGGGAGCCGGAACGTCAAGTAGCGAAGCTGGAACTGGGAGCCGGTGATTTCACTCACGTGCTCTCTCGTTGCCCCTCGGTGCTGCCCACGCGCCAGGACGTCTGTAGGGAGGGGTTTCTGGTACCGGAGTCATTGACAGGTGCCACCTGGTCCCAGCCTGTCAATGACAGTCCCAACAACAGCATTTGAGAGTTCCTGTTTCTCCATTCCTTGGGTAGGTCTTGATTATCAGCCTTTTAAAAATATTTTGCCGAAATTGTTTTTTCCCATTCCAGTCTGAGCGCTTTGGTTTCTGGGCTTTGTGCACAGGTTTTGTCTGAAGGTATATTCCCTTTGTTGCTTGTGGATTCATACTTGAGTTTTTTTCCCTTGAATGTATCAAGAAATACAGAAAATACTTTAACACCTATTTGGGAATTCATCATGTTTTTTGGCCTCTTGCACTACTTAAACATCCACTGTTCGGTGACTTCCCCCAATGTATGGATCTTCATTTCACTATGTAGCAGAGAGAAACTTAATTTTCTAATTTTCTTTGGGACTAGGGCTCAGACAGGTATCTAAGTTTCACCAGCTAGACATTCCTGTGTGACATTTGGAAGTGACACTGAAAACAGAGAGGCACCTGGGATCTACGTTGTTGGGATCAGCGACACGTGGCTTTCGAGGTGGTCGAGGCAGAGGTTCCGAGGTTCCGTTCCTCTGTGCAGACCCTGGGGCTGGCCATGCTCAGTTCAGGAGCTTTCCCCCTGCAGCAGCTCTGTGGTGTAACAACATTTGTCAGAGCTGTGTCATCTGATCTCTGAGCCTGAGACTTGTGAGCCATTGGTTAAATTTGTTAGAGCAGATCCTGTTGTTGCAACCGAGAATACTGACTTATAGCTGCTACCCCAATTTAACCACTTTTAACCTTTTCCCTTACTTCAGATCCTTTTGTTTTTAAGAAAAATGCACCTGTCCATTGAAAATCTTCACGTCATTTGCTTCCAAGAAGAAACACTATCCTATTACTGCATGTGCTTATCCATCATTTACCCTTTGTGATTTACGTTGTATAATATTTTCTGTTTTAAAATTAAACGTAATCAGGTTCATGATACGTACCCTTTTGCAACTTGTTTTAATTGCTCAGCATTGTTTTCACATTTAGCACGTTGGTACATGTTAGTATATGTGCAGAGATGGTTGATACATGTAGAGCTCTGTAGTATTCTGTTTACCATATGCTGTATGATTATTCTCATGATTAATTCATTCTCATTGATAACCATTGAGGATGGTCTTGACTTTTTAGCATTATAAACAGCACTGCAGAAAATATTCTTGTGTATGTTTCTTTTTGTATCATTTGACAGTTGCTCTAGAGTATGCAGAAGCAGAAACACATTTTCAGCCTTACTAAATATTAGTCTCCAGATAGTTGACTCTCCATCAGCAGTGTGATAGTTCCCGTTTTCCCCACTCCCTCCACGTGTCATCGTCAGACATTCAAATGTTTGGGCGGTGGGATGTATGTGACCCTATCTCATGTAACTCGGTTTGTTTTATATTGACCGTGTAGTGATGATGAGCATGTCTTCATTTGTTTATTACCCAATGAAATTCCTTCTGTGAGTTACCACTTTATAGCCTTTGCCCAGTTTTAAAAAATTGGGTCTTTGGTCCTTTCATATTAATTGGGTCTCTTTATATATTCAAAAAGTTGAATTTTTGTCACTGCAAATATTTTCTTTGGTCTGGCTTATCTTTTAACTTTGTTTACACTGTCTTTAATTTTAATGTGGAAAAATCCTTTTCCTTTGTGATTTTTATGTGTGTGTTCAAGAAATTTAAGAAAGCCTTCCCTAACTTGAGGTCATAAGGCATTTTTCTTTATTTTTTTTAATATTTTAAAGTCTTCCTTTTTTATATTTGTTGAATTTACTTGAAGTTTAATTTGGCATGCAGAGTGAGGTAAGGGATCGAACTGTGAGTCCTCCCCTCCCCCACCTGGGTAGTCAGTTATTTTATGTCATTTCTTTTCTTCCTACTCTTAGTGGTGGTGCCCCACCATCATACATCCGATCCCTGTAACTGTCTGGCTGGCCCGCTGGCCCATTCGCTGTCCCTGCACCACTGTTACAGTTTTAATGATCAGGTTTATAACATTTTGATTTCTGGTGTGGTGAGTCCTTATTCTCCTTTTTCAAAATTGGCATCATTGTAAGATCAGGTTGTCAACTTCTGAGGGGTGTGCCTTAAAATCATTCTTTTCTGCTATATTTCTACATGAAGTTTGTGTAGGTCAATGGTAAATTTTGTTTTCTTTCAACTTTTCATGTCATTATGTTTTAGGTTTTCTCTCTCTTTTTAATTCTCATACAAGGGCATGCCCATTGATTTTAGAGAGAGAGGAAGGGAAGGAGAGAGACAGGGACAGAAATGTCAGTGTGAGAGAAACATCCATTGGCCGCCTCTCATATGCACCCCGATTGGAGATGGAACCCACAGCCCAGACGTGTGCCCCGAGTGGCATCCAACCTGCAGCGCCCCAGTTCACGGGACCACATGCTCCAACTAACCGAGCCACACTGGCCAGGGCTAGATTTTCTCTTTAAAAAGAATTTAGGAACCTTTCCCCCCTCTTAAATCCATTCTCCTACAATGATTATGGATTTGTGTCAATTTCCCCTTGTAATTAAATGATTTGTTCATTATGTTTTTGAGAGTATTTTTGTTAGTATTGTGTATTTTGGTTTGGGATTTTTATAACTTGTTGGCAAATTGTACTTTTTTATCATTAAATAAGGATCCTCTGTATACCTAATAATGATTTCCCGTACTTAATCTGGTTTCCATAATCTTTTTTTTTCTTTAATCTGGTTCTATTATTATATTAAATGTATGTTAGTATTTACCTGGTATATATTTTTCTATCCCTTTTCAACTTTTCTTAAGGTCATTATGTTTCAAGTCTTTTTTTAATAAGCAGCATAAAACGTACTTTCTGTTTGGACCTAGTCTTGGAATTACTATCTTTTAAGCCAGTTTAATTCATGTACACTTTACTGTGATGACCACTTCTTTGCATTCTTTTTTCTCCTTCCCCCTTATTTCCTCTTTGTACTTTCTATTTTATAGATTACCTATTCTGTTTCTATTCTTTCACTATGTAGTCTCCCATTTATAGGTGTACCATTATTTTATCAGTCCCTCTTGATGGTTGATTTTTAGTTTTTTTCTATTAAAATAATGTTTCACTTAGTAAAGTTTTATATATGCGATTCTACCCATGTACTAGATCTATAATATAAATTCTTATAGGTGATCCTTTTGATCAAAGAAGTATATGTATTTTAAGTATTGATAAATAATAGATAATATCCTTTTAAATAAATTTATTCAGTGAGCAGATTTTAGAGTTCATACATGGTTAAATTCATTGAAAAGGAAAATCTTTAATTTTAGAGGATTACTAAATTACTTCTAAGGAATGTTACTTCTAAGGATCTCAAAGTTGGGTGTTATGTCAAGTCTGCCTGTGGAGATAAAAGACAAATTTTCATATGTATATCTATATCTATCTATATATATATATATATATTTAATTTTTACTTTTGATTTTGGAGACAGAAAGGGAGCGAGAGAGAGAGAGAGAGAAACATTGATTTGTTGTCCCACTGATTTATGCATTCATTGGTTGATCCTTGTACGTATCCTGACCAGGGACTGAACCTGGAGCCTTGTCATATTGGCATGAATTTCCAGCCACCTGAGCTACCTGGCCAGGGCTTCCTATTTATATATTTTTAATTATGGAACTTCTTAGAGGGAATTTGGAGACTGTCATCTTGATTTGCAGAATTTAGGAAAAGCCAAAGCATTGCTGGAGCCGTCTGTAATGAGCCCGTACAAGTCAACTTGGAACAGCAGTCGCTGAAGCTGGGACATACTCATGTGCCAGGTACAGATCGTCTCCGGCGTCAGAACAGCCTGTGGTTCCAAAGTCAGTGGAGACTTGGATACATTTTCCCATTCCACTTCAGCAGCTGAGAGCAAGGCCCTGAGCTGAGTGAAACAGAAAAGTTTAAAATGGTGTTTGTTTCTTTCAGAAGCTCGTGATCTAGAAGAGGACAACACGTACACAATTAAAATGTGGGCAACATGTGAAGCACTTTCGTAGGGGAACTACACACTGTACTTTGGGAGGACAGAGGAGAAAGATCATTTCTGGGTGTGATCCTTTGCAGAGTTATCTTCTGTGTGCTTGGCATGGCCTAAGGGATTAGAAGTTGCTGAGCCGACAGCATTTGGAAAAGGGTAGGATTTCCCCAAGTGGAGTCTGGGTATAATGATTGGTAAAGCTTTGGCAGCGTGGGGGTGGGAGGGTGAGATACTTGGCAGCGATATTTTGTGATTGTTTTATTAACCAATGCACTCTTTCCAAGGCAGGACCTGGCACCCAGTCCCTTCCCATTGACCTTCCCTAACTACTGCTCTAAACAGGAGCTTGTAGTTTGGGTCTTGATAGTACCTGGCCATTGAGTGTTTGCAGCTGG